CAAAGTAGGGAGAGCACTAAAAACAACATTAGTTAATTGTAATCTCCCAGTTTGATTCAGAAAACTTGAGATGCTTACCAATCTTCTCTCACACCTTGAAACCAATGGCCAATAATCTGCTACTGTTGGTCTAGTGAGGCTGAGTGGCAGCCCTAAGTAAGTGAAAGGTAGAAACCCTTTAGAACAACCTAGGGTTTTAGCTAAAATTTCAAGCTTATCATTAGCAACATTTATAGGGACCATCATGGATTTATCAAAATTAACTTTTAAACTAGTAGATTCAGCAAATGAGTTAAGCATAGCTTTTAGGAAAAAGAGCTCTCTTGCATCAGCCTTCATGAAAGTAAGTGTGTCATCAGCATACTGTAGAATAGAGAAATCTTGACAGCGGGGGAGAGCAATTGTCAAAGATAGGATACCATGATCTTTAGCAGAGTTGAGGAGATCCTGTAAAAAATCAGCAGCCAGCACAAAAAGAAGGGGTGAAAGGGGATCACCCTGTCTTACTCCTCTCTTATAATGAAAAGTTTTACCCTTAACCCCATTGAGCAAAACAGCAGAAGTCCCAGAGTTGAAGATGAGCTGCATCCATTGTAACCATTTATCAGGAAAGCCTTTGTGCTCCATAACCTTAATCATCAAATTATGTTCTACCTTATCAAAGGCTTTTTCAAAATCCAATTTGAGAATGATGATCTCCTTTGTAGATTGGTGATAGAGGTATAAGAATTCCAATGACCAAGCTAAGCAATCTTGTATACATCTATGCTTTATGAAACCATACTGGTTTGTATGAATAAGCTGAGGAAGAAGCAATTGCAATCTGTTGGCCAGCAACTTAGTAATGATCTTGACTGAGGTGTTCAGGAGGGAAATAGGTCTGAAATCAGATACTCTGATGGTATTATCATGTTTAGGCACCAATGTGATTAGAGAACCATTGATACTTTGTAAGCAAATATCCCCTGTATGTTTGGTGAAATCTGTGTTAAAAACATCAGGCCCTGGAGCTTTATCTGAGGGCAATGATCTAACCACCAGATCTATTTCTTGCTTAATGGGTGCCACCAATGAACTTAGATCAATTGTTGTGGGCATGAGGGATTCTAAATTGAAATGAATTGCTGTGAAATCAGAGATACCCAGCCTGTCTTTAAATGCTGTCCAAATCATGTCAGCTTTCTGTTGATGATCAAAAACATGAATCTCAGAATTATTCTCCAGACATGTTATCAAATTTCTTCTGAATTTTATAGTAGCATTTGCATGGAAAAACTTGGTGCTTGCATCACCAAGAGTTACCCATTTGATCTGCCCCCTCTGTTTCCAATATATTTTCTGTTGTTCAAGAGGTTTTGTAATTCTAGTTCTAGAATATGTCTGAAATTCCATTCTGAAATAGACAGATCCCTGAATTCCTCAATTATCTACAGAAAGTCTAGCACAATCTTTATACTATCAATAACAGTTTTCAGATTTGAAAGGGTAGCCTTCCAAGATTTTAGAGCCACTCTAAGATTTTTGAATTTGGCTGTCAAGATCTTAGCTGCATCAATGATATGGACAGGAGCAGTCCGGTGTTGTTGGACAACACTATAGAAGTCAGAATGTTCAAGCCAATGATTCTCAAAATGAAAAATAGAGCCTTTTGGGATTTTGGTGGGGATTGAAATAGCACAAGGAACATGGTCAGATGTCTCCATTAAAAGGGGATAAGCAAAAATATTAGGGTAAGACAAGGTCCAAGAGGTAGAAATGAAAAACCAATAAATCCTCTCAAGGAGTGGGGAGACTTGCTTATTGGACCATGTAAACTTTCTACCTTTTAAAGGGATTTCAATAAGGCCGAGAAAGCTAATTGCCTCATTAAACAAATACATGTCCAGATGATCACCACCAGGCTGATTCCTATCTTCAGGTCATCTACAGAGGTTAAAATCACCGACAATAATCTAGTCTACAGTTTCAGGCATGCTGATATTTTTGAACCACTGAATGAAATTTCTTGGTACTCTGGAATCCTTGAGGCAGCAACTTCATAAACCCTTCTTCATGGAAATCATAGTCACAATGTGCTGGTCTATTTGGACAGTGAGAAATGATGCAATTTTCAGAAATGTGCAACCTACAATTCAGAAATGCAAAGCCATCTTCAGAAGGGGACTTGCTCAAGTTATTCTTAGAGCAAAAAGTAGAATAGCACCTCTACTCACTCAATGGCTAGAAGCTTATGTGTAATTGTATCAATTTTCTTAATTTCCTTTTTTGTTTCCTGAACACTCTTGGTAAGAACTGCCTTTATTTTAAATTCAATAAAAACATAGGGGGCACCCCTCCTGTTTCCATAAAAAAAAACTGACGTCCAACCCTAGCTGGACTGTCAATTCCAGCACAAGAATCGATCGATCCATCGCCAGCCACTGTTCCTTTCTCCCTTTGCCATTGCTCTAGGTTTCAGTGGAGCGAATCGAATCACAGTGACAGATCCTGGAAGATCAAAAGGCGAACCCAAGTGCTGTGAAAAAAAGGATCCAAATTTTTTCATCACTGGACTAGCGGACTGCAGACAGTAGCATCAACATTGAGCTTGGGCGGGCAAAGAAAGGGACCTTGTTGGCAACAACTTTATATATTTTGGTGCGAGTGCAGCATCGCATCGCCATCGCTAGGACCACACACGTACACCTCAGATTCCCTCTAGCAGATGTGGCTTTCAGCTCACCTAATAATCTTATTGGGAGGAATTTCAGCAAATCATGCATGGTTCCATGTACTTACTAGTCCTGTGTCTGAGTGTGCCAAAATGATTGAACATTAATATTTATGATGATGCACTGAGTAATATAATGTAGTATAAATTAATAATCAGGGTTACAGCTACAAGCTACAGAGGATAAGTATTATTAGGTGAACATGGTTCATACACCTAATAATCAGCTTGCCTAGTACTTAAACAAAAACGGTTAGGGTCCGTTTGGTTCGTGTCCATAATCTGCCGCGCCGCATTTTAGGCATGCCAAACCGAGTTAGGTAGGTGTTTGGTTTACTACCCTAGGTTAGGCTGCCAAAGAATCTCCGGCGCTGCCGCAGTGCTTTGCCACAGGATTTTTTGCCGAAAGTGCGGCGAACGATTCCTTCGCCGCAACTCTGGCGTGCCGACGCGAGCTGCCTTCAGCCCGGGAAAAAATGGCGCGTAACTTTGCCGCGTGTGTGCATATATGGCGCGAAACTGAGCGCGGACCCTTTCCTGGATATTTCTTCACCGCTTATCCTTATCCTTCCTTATCTGTTCGCTGTTGGGGGGAAAAGAACACCGTGCCCGCCGCCGCCGCGGCTCTCCACGGAGGGCGCGTCGCTCTCCCATTGCAACACCGCGGGGCCCGACATCCGACGCTGCGCGGCTCGTTGGCCTGGCGTGGAGGTTCTGCCTCCGGCGTCGCGTTCCTCCGCATCGCTGCCACAGGGCGACGGTGTCGAGGTCACACCATCTTGTATGCAGGTACGTGCATCTGCACATCTCCCAACAGGAAAGTTTTTCTCGGTAGCTGATTGCAGAGGCTTGTGTACTGATCATTATTTGTGGCTTCTTTTGCTAAAAGACAAATGCATTTCTATTGAGTCCATACGAAAAATATATGACATTCAAAATGCTTTTTTTGACGAGTTGTTGGTAGAGATCATCTAGCAAAAGTGAGTAATATTTGTCTAAATTATTTTTCCCCAATCCGATGTGTGTTGAAATTTTTATTTTTTTGGAAATATTTGCTAACCAGATGGATCGAAGGATGAGTCAGTTCATATATTATTACTTCAGTTACTACTACCAGTACTACATTTGGAGGAGAAGGTTGTTAGCTGCTATTGCTTTGTGTCTAGCTAGTTACACTTATCTGCTAAACATGCAAAAGCGAGACAGAGAAGCTGTGACATATGGACCCATGTTGGACAGAGATATCTCAAGAGAAACCCGTTTAAATCGTTTGTATAATGGTACGGAGGCCCATTGTATTTCTGAACTGCGCATGCGAAAGAATGTTTTTCATATGCTCTGTCAAAGTCTCAGATCACGTGGTCTTTTGACGGACACATTGAATGTGACTGTGGAAGAACAAGTGGCAATGTTTATGCATGCTGTGGGTCATAAATGGTCTAATAGAGCTATTGGTTTTGAGTTCATTCGATCAGGTGAGACTGTTAGTAGGTACTTTAATGAGGTTTTAGATGCGTGTGCAATACTTGCTAGAGAACTCATATACATCAGGACCACTGAAACACATCCAAAGATCACAAGTAACCTAGGAAGGTTCCACCCTTACTTTGAGGTACAGTCATGAAACACCTTCAGCTAGGATATTGAAACATAAAGGAGAGGCGTGCTAATTAGTCTAACAAAACATCATTTGTCTTCCTTAGGGATGCATAGGAGCTTTGGATGGTACTCATATACCAGCATTTGTCCCTGCACACATGCAAGGCAGGTTTAGGGGTAGAAAGTCTATCCCGACTCAAAATGTTCTTGTGGCCGTTGATTTTGACCTACGGTTCATATACGTCTTAGCTGGATGGGAGGGATCGGCTCATGACTCTTATGTACTCGAAGATGCTCTAAGACGTCCCACTGGCCTAAAAATACCTGAAGGTAGGGAGTCATGTTTTTGACAAATTAAACAATACATAGTTCATCTCTAACCTTAAGCAACATGTTCATATTTTAGGAAAATTCTTTCTGGCAGATGCTGGATACGCAGCAAGACCTGGTATACTCCCTCCATATCGTGGCGTCCGTTATCACCTAAAAGAATATAAAGGTGGTAGAGAACCTGAAAATTATAAGGAGTTATACAATCACCGCCACTCCTCTCTTAGGACAACAGTTGAGCGTGCTTTTGGTACCTTGAAGAATCGATTTCAAATCCTTAAAAGTCAACCAAATTTTCCTTTGAAAATACAAGTTAAGATTGTTCTCGCATGCTGTGGGCTTCACAACTGGATACTAGAGCATGCTGCTGATGATGAGTACGTCTACGATGAAGAATCATGGTATAGGGCTTTGCCAAGGAGCAATAGGACATATCGTGACATACGCGCTGAGAGTCAAGCCTGGGTACTTAAAAGAGATCAGATAGCACGTAGTATGTGGAGAGATAAAGTAGGTGAATCAAGCTCTGAGTTGAATCACCCCACTGAGAATATGATTGGTATGTAGTGACGCACAAATAATTGGCATGTAATGAAGAATGCAATATTCCTAAATATGTGTGGCATGTAATGAGACTTCTTTTTTTTGCGAGCAATGTAATGAGACTTCTGCAGTGTGCTAGTTGATTCTAATGTTATCAGGTTATAGCATATTAAAATTTCTGTTTATTGTAGAGTATAGATAAAAGAATAATTTTTGTTGCCCTTTTCCGTTTTAGTTTTTTCCTGATGAATGATTGTCTGTAGCCTGTGCATACCTGTAGTTGTTGCATCTTTCTTGCAACTGGGCAAGATGGTGAAGAAAAAAGGAAAGTTGGATGTTGATGGGCCTATCCGTGCAAGAACCATAACTTGGGAGGAGGACCAGACTAAGTTCATGCTGAATTGGTATATTGAGTATAGGAAACACCAGCATGCAGGTTTTGTGTGGAAGAAGCCACACCATGCAAAGTGTGCTGATGCCTTAAACAAAGAGTTTGGCATGGGTGTAACCATTGAACAGGTTAATCGTCACTACAGGGAGTACAAGGACAAGTGGAGGATAGTTGAGAGAGCTTTAAGTAACAGTGGAAATGGATTTGATGCGATCAGGTGCAAGGTAACTATTTCTGAATCTGAAAAGAAAAAGCTAAAGGTATGTCTCATAATTTTGCTTGGCATTACAAATACAGAATTTACATGGTCATAGTCTTAAATATTGTCTTGTATTCACATGCAGGACGTAGAGAGGCGCTTGCTTTCTAAGCCCATCAAATTCTATAATGAGATGGAAGAGCTCTTCAAAGGTAGCCATGCAGATGGTTCTCTTGCCATGGATCAAGAAACATGCTTGGATGATGATAAGGGCTCTGATAGTGATGATAGTGGAGGCCTTAATGACATATCTGGTTATGCACATCGAATTGACCTTGAAGGTGATGACTCCGACACATTACCCTCACCTGAAGGTCCTAAAACTAGTCCTAACTATGAAGGTAGTGGAGAAAATAGCTCAAAGAGCCCACGTCGATCTGGAAAGAAGCGACCAAGAGGGGTCAAGTCGCCTAGTAAGAAGCCAACAAAGTCTAAGAGTCGTTTTGCAGATGCCACTAAAGACATCAGCACAACTATGAAGGTCATTGCAAACACTCTTACTCAGCCACCTCCTCCACCACCAGTCCCAATTTCCGTGGATCCACATGCTGAATTGTGGAAGAGGTTAGAAGCTTTGCCTATCCGTGCAGATGATAAAATCACCGTTGGTGTTTACTTGGCACGAGCTGAAAATGAAGGTATGCGTGGTTGGCTCAGTGCTTCCAGTAACACAACTTTGGAGACTTGGGTGTACCGGTTCTTGTGTAACCAAGATGGTAAGCCATGATAGTCGGACTTTTGCTGAAGGGTGTTTTGGTGAACTTCTTTTGCTTCTTTTGCACATGGAACTATGGAAGTGCTCATCATCTAAGCCTACTGATCATTGAGGCTTCAGTAAATTATGTGCTTATGCTTTTGGATATGGTTGGTAGTAGTTGATGGTTCTGTATGACTGTATATAGCCCAAATCTGAAGACCAGTAGGTGCTGCTGCTTTTGTATAGGACAGACTGAAGTGGTCCTTTGCAACTCATCATGCTTTTGTGTATACTAATATAGCTAGGAACTAGAATGGATATGTCAAGTTGTCATCCTGCTGTTAATTATTGCTCAGTATGTTCACTGGTGCTAATTACTTGCATTCTTTTCCACCATGTTGGAGTGAAAAGTGTCGAAATTCTGGTGTGATGACTTCAAGTGGTAAGCTCACCCCTTCCTAGAATAAGGTAATTGTAATAAACTTTAGCCGTGAACCAAACACCTACCACATACATTTGCCGAACTTGTGGCAGCTCATATGGCTATGAACCAAACAGTTGCCGGAGTTAAATCTACCACATCTAAAGTTTGGCATGGTAGTGAACCAAACACCTTGTTTTTGCCGCAAAGTTGGCATGCCACTACTCTGGCATATGCCTAACCTTAGTTGTGGCAAACTCTGGCTATGAACCAAACAGACCCTTAGTCATGTTGCAATTCAGGCCGGAAATCAGATAGAAAATGCTAAGGGATCAAATATCATAAATAGGCTAGAAAGAACAGAATCTGAATTATTGCCGGTGGGAACTGAGTATGGAGATTTATTGCTGAAGAAAATCATACCTGATTGATGCTAGTTGGAGTGCCAAATTAAATGTTGTTTGAGGCAATGCTGTACAGTAACGTATGTCTAGGAATGCGCTGTCATGTCTGTGTTAGTTTGGACTTGATCGAAGATATTTTCATGTGCCCCCCTACCCTACGTTAGGTCACTGGGCATGTTGGTTGATCCAAGGTCTTAACAAAAGCAGTCCTCCTATGGCATTATATTGATATAATCAAATCACCTATGTCCATAGATAGATTTGTAGGCGCAGCGCAAAGCTTGTCTTGTTTATATATATGCTGATTATAGAGTAGATTAATAGTAGGTGGTAGCTCGTCGACTCAACCAACTAAACCACTTGGGAATTGTTTATTGGACTGTCAATCGATCAAGAACAAGCTGTTTGTTTGGCTCTAGAAAAAATCTCCAGGACTGTCCATGTGAATTGATAGATCCAAGAGGGTATATTTATATGTGTGTGTGTGTGTGTGTGTGTGTATATATATATATATATATATATATATATATATATATATATATATATATATATATATATATATATATATATATTATCCTCTCTTGACCTGAGATCCCACTGGGAGTCAGGAGTTGCTACAAGTATAAAGCAATAAAGTCTTGGACCAATATCCATTTCAACAGGAGAGAATGATCTGCTTTGATAAAATTTATTACATCAGTCCCTAAAAAGACCTTGAAATCCTACAATTTTTCAGGCAGATTAGGCCTCCTTTGGATCGCATGAGAAGCATAGAAAAATCATACGAATTGGATTCCTATAGAAATAGTTACTATATTCACCCATTTGGTTCTCAGGATTGGGGCAAACGAATAAGGCCCCCTTGGATTCCTATAGAAAGAGTTACTATTCACCCCTTTGGTTCATAGGATCGGGGCACACAAGTAGGCAGTGACAGAGAAATAATAATAAGCCCCTTTAGAGCACATGACTAAAAAAATGTAGGAAAACACACAAGTAGTATAGGACCACACATGCAAAACAGAGAAATGGAAAACATAAAATCTTTGTAGGAACACATGTTTGAATCAACTGAAAAAAATACAAAAAGAAAAGAAAAGAAAAAACTTGATGTTTGAGTGTGGATGATTTTCCTATGAAATCAAACGTAAAGAAAACTTTCCTATGTTTCTATTGCAGGCGATCCCTCCAGACCAAAGGAGTAACTCAAGCCATAGCCCATAGGAACGAGAATCCAATTTTTTTATGCAATCCAAAGAAAGAAAACGTAAAAACAAACTAACTGATATGAAATTCATGTGCAATTTTCAGCAAGGACCCCTTCCTTAACGGTGATCGCCCCCGTACCTGCGATGTGTGCAGCGGCGGCGGCAGCGATTAAACACGGGCAGGGAAGCAGGAGGAGGCGCAGGGCGAGGCAGGCAGCTCGTTCCTACTGTAGCATAGCAATGGAGGAGCATGCATCATGCATTGATTGTGGTGCGGTCGCCGGCCACGCGACACCCGGCCCCGCCCGCGCGTACCTGTGGTGTGACGGGTGAGACTGACACTGAGCCGGCCGGACAGGGCACGTAGTATGCGTGCGCCGTCGTCCTTCCTAATTGGCTGATCCACCAGATCACCACCACCTGGGCGTGTCGCCGCGCGCGCCATCCGCCATGGCCATGGCGTCCCGCAGCCAACGAGCGCCCTCTCCTGCTTCGTCTCTCAACACAAACCTTCTGCTTTTACTTTTATTACGAGTACCCACATAGTACTACTTAAAGTTATTACTAGTTCAGACATCCGAAGTACGAAGTAGAATCGTTTTTTTCCCCCTACGAGAATGTTAAATGACGTTCGGATGTTGTGGACCAATCCAACGCTTGAATTTTCAGACGTCCGATCACCGCACGATTAAAACTCTTGCTATCCGGTTAGCTTGGTTACGATTTTAGGTTCAAAAATGGTCTTTCTTCTATCCCTTCAGCGAGCTTAGAAGAAAAATCGGAGGAGAAAGGCCGGATCAGCATCGGTGGTAAGCGCAAGAGCGGTGGCGGAGGAGGTAGGGGTGCAGCAGCGGTGGCACCACGCGATGGCCTAGTGGGAGAAGAGGGTTGAACTGGGCAGGGCATTCACGATGATCCCTCGATGAAGCTAGGTTAGCATGGTGGTGGGGATGGAGGTGGATTAGGCGGTGAGGAGCCTCGGAGACAAGATAGGCGTGCGTGGTGGGGTTGTTTCACGGGAAACACTATGGATAACAGGAGGTAGAAGGAGACTAGAGGTAAAAAAAAAGACTCGAGGTAGAAGAAAGAGACTAGCCATTTGATCTTCATCCGATGGCTGGAAATAAATCAAGTGGCCAACTAATTTAAAACACTCAGTCGTCGAGTAGATAGCAGCTTCTTTTTCTAACATAGGAGCAGAGTCGAAAAAATATTGTATATTTGATTAGTAGTTGTAAAGATTTAAGCCCACAATATTGATTTTGATTAACTCTTTTACATTTGAGTGGAATCCTTGACATTATTTTCAGTTCTCCTTGACTTTAACTAGTATTTTGTCAAAATATAATTACTTCAAAAGCAACTTATATCTATTCTTATAAAGTATTTAGGAACGAGATAATATGGAATTTTGTCTAGGATCAAATATTATAAATTTTAGAATAGGATCAATATCAAAACAACTTGGTAGGATCATAGTATAGTAAGATTTAGAATACAGATTAAGAGAACAACTTCACAAAATCTACACACAATCTCTTCTCATTAGAGAACTGTTTAGCAAGGTTTATCTTGAATTTAGCTTAGAAGCTACTCTAGGAGCTCTACCAAACTAACTCTTAGCTCTCATCTTTCAATGTAAATCGAGAAATGATTCCTGCTTGATTTCGCTAGAACCTGTGTATTTTTTTTTGTTTGGTTGAGCATAAGTGAGTGCTTCCAAACAAATACCTTAGAGAATCCTACAAAATTAATTTCAGCCACAAATCATTTCTCTCAAAGAGCACGTCAGCATCAGGATAAGAATGAAGAACTCTCCAAAGTAGTACTCCTTCCATCCTAAATTGTAAGACGTTTGACTTTTTTGATCCCAAGTTTGACCACTCGTCTTATTCAAAAAATTTGTGCAAATATAGTCAAATTTAAGTCATTCTTGAAGAATTTTTATTAATAAACCAAACCACGACGAAAGAAGTAATATTTTACATAAATTTTTGAATAAGATGAGTGGTCAAACTTGGTGTCAAAAAAGTCAAACGTCTTGTAATTTAGGATGGATTGAGCAGGTCCAAAGCTTCTACAGGAAAACTCTCGAACTTTCTTCTGCCAATTTGGTCGCAAAAGAGAGAAATATCGGTAGCTGCAGCACTCTCAAACTATTGTAGTCAGGGGCGGATCCAGCAGTGGGGCGCGGGGGGGCTCAAGCCCCCCCTACGTATCCCGAAACAGTGCAAATTACTGTAGAGTCCTTATGAATTTTTAGGCAAAGTTCTATAGTATAGGGGGCTGAGATTTAAAATCGAACAACAGTGTTGTTCAGCTTCTCCTAAAATATTTTCTGGATCTGCCGCTGATTGCAGTGCCACTGGCAAGCAGTAGCAGGCTGCGTACTAGTATTTGTGCAGCCCAACACGCTGATCATATCAAACGGTCACTGATTTGCCTGGTTTGCCTCTGAATCTGAGGGAGAAACCGGCGAAAACTCCATTTTGGCGTCTTCCGCACAAGCTGCAGAGAGGCAGAGAATCTATTGTAGAATGTAGGCCAGGTGCACAGGCATACACAGCTCCGGCCCTACCTACACCTACCTGCGCTGCAGTGGTGGTGGCAGTGCAGTTCATCTTTTTGATCCAGATTTGGATTGGATTAGGCGCTCAAATCGAACATTAACAAAAATTTTATAAAATAATAAAAAGTTAGGGACCCCCATCCGATCCACAGCACAGAGTCTCTCTTTGGTTTTTATACTACAGGGAACCTCCAGAATGGGCGTGGATAAATATGTGCCATTTGCGGCTGTCTCCCTTACTGTACCTTGCAACAACCGGCACCTGGGCTGGGTCTGGGTGCCTTGCACAGTACAACCACCTTGGATTTTTTTTCTTCCATTTATTCACACATTTATTTATTTTATCAAGAGAGATCGGAGAATATTATTTATCTTTCAGAGCATATGCCAGGCGACAGTTCAACAACCTAGGTCATGTTCGTTTGAAC